AAGTTTGAATAAAGATCACAATATAATTTTAATTTGTGGATACACCAGTTATTCAGCGGTACCTGTCCACAGTGGAGTTGAATCCATAGATGAGGCTCAAGAAATCATGACGCAAGTGTGTCAGATCTGCTCGGCGGGCGGTTTTCCGCTGCAGAAGTGGAATAGCAATTGTCCAAGTCTTTTAAATCATTTGATGTCGTCGCCAATTGACCATGCTTCTGGAGTTGAGTTAGATTCTTCTGGTGTTAAGATATTAGGCCTTTATTGGCAACCGAAACATGACGACTTTCAGTTCACTTCGTTACCGCCTATTACTCGAAAAATTACAAAGAGATCGGTTTTATCTGAAATCGCTCAACTTTACGACCCTTTAGGATTAATCTCGCCTGTTGTCATCCGCGCTAAAATCTTCATTCAGGAGCTCTGGTTGGCCAAGGTTGATTGGGATAGTTCACTATCGCAAGAATTGCAACAACGGTGGGTGAATTATAGGCAACAGCTACCTGAATTGGTAAATCTAAATATTCCGAGATGGCTTCACATTTCATCTTCAGCACGTCTGATTCAACTTCATGGCTTCTCTGACGCCTCACAATGGCTGCCGTGATATTCATTAGGGTCGAAACGGAGCAGTCTGAAATTCAGGTTAGAGTCGTTTGTGCCAAGACGAAGGTAGCCCCGTTAAAGAAGCTCACAGTTCCTCGCCTAATGTTATTAATAAAAAATAATGTTATCACGCCTGATGTCAAGTGTTCAGAAGATCCTGGAATTAAAGGACAGCTCAGTCTTTCTATGGACGGATTCATCGGTCACTCTTGCTTGGATTGCCTCACATCCCGCCAAATGGAAGGAATATGTTCGCAACCGAGTTGCAGCTATACAGGATGTTGTACCCTCTGCGTCTTGGGGTTTCGTTCCCGGCAAGGAGAACCCCGCTGATTGCGCCTCGAGAGGTTTGCGTGTGCATGAGATGGAACGACATTCTTTATGGTGGAACGGGCCCTTGTGGTTACATGGTTCGCCTAAACAGTGGCCGAAATTAAATCCTGGGTTTTCTGTCGAGCTAGATATGGAGGTAAGCTCCGGACATATCCTTACTTCTGTTCAAGACCGAGAAATAGTTTATTGGGATCTCTTGGAACGCTACTCTTCGCTCACGAAGCTTATACGAGTTACCGCAGTGTGCCTACGCGCTGCTCAGCGTTTTCGACGTTTACCTTTGGAGTCGTTCACCGAGCATTTGTCTCCCCTTGAACTTCAGAAGAGTAGTCAATTTTGGATTTGTAAGGTACAACAATCTCATTTTAAGCATGAGATAGAGACACTGAACAGAGGAGGTCGCTTATCTAAGGCAAATCCTTTGGTTAAACTTACACCTTACATAGACAAGTTTGGAATAATAAGAGTTGGCGGTCGACTACAGCAAGCAAGCTTAGAACATGATACCAAACATCCAGTTATCTTACCAAGACAGTCTCCGTTGACAACATTAATAATTGCTGATGCTATCTTCAAACGTTACATGGCGGGACTCAAATGACACTAGCATACATTCGACAAAGGTATTGGATAATAGGCGGTCGAGTTCCCATTCGATCCTACATTCTTAGATGCGTAAGATGTGCTCGATATCGCCAGAACAGAGCTCAGCAATTGATGGGTCAGCTTCCGGCGTCGCGTGTTACGCCTTCTCGCCCCTTCCTGAATAGCGGAGTAGACTACGCGGGACCCATCACAATCAAAACCTGGCGAGGGCGGGCGGCAAAGACCTACAAGGGATATCTAGTAATCTTTGTTTGCTTTTTTTCATCCGCAGTGCACATAGAAATAGTCACAGACTATACAACTGAGGCCTTCATCTCCGCTTTCAAGAGATTCTGTGCCAGACGCGGGATCTGTGCGACACTACACAGTGATTGTGGCACTAATCTAGTCGGTGCGGATCACGAGCTACGTCGACGATTTGACTCAGCTTCTAAGGAACTAAAGGAATTAGCATCATTGCTCGCGAATCACGGCACTCAATGGCTGTTCAATCCCCCGGCCGTACCTCATTTTGGAGGAAAATGGGAGGCCGCGGTTAAATCTACGAAATTTCACCTTCGTCGTGTGGTCGGCGATACTATACTGACTTACGAGGAATTATCAACACTGATGGCCCAAATCGAAGCTGTTCTAAACTCCAGACCTCTTTGTCCAATGTCAGAGGACATCAGTGATTATACCGCTTTAACTCCTGGTCATTTTATTTTAGGGGAACCATCCATAATTATTCCGGAGCCAAATCTATCCGAACAGCCAAGTTCGCGTCTAACCCGATGGCAACTCATACGCCAAAGGGTCGAACATTTTTGGAAACGATGGACAAAAGAGTGCATACATCGCTATCAAGCGATATCAAAGTGGCATCATCCATCCACACAGTTGAAGGAGGGCTCCATGATTCTCCTCACAGATGAAAGATATCCTCCAGCTAAATGGCCACTAGCAAGAGTCTTGCAGTTACATCCGGGCAAGGACGGGTTGACGCGAGTCGTGACTGTGCGAACTGCAACTGCTACCTATAAACGACCGATCACCAAGGTTTGCGTGCTACCTGCTGATCAAGACCAGATATTCGAGAACTTCATTCCCGAAGGCGGGCGGAAGGTTCAGTAAGGGAGAAAATTTATTCTGTTATATTTTGACATGAAATAGATATCTTACAAACTT